TACTTTTCCACAATTGGCGAAGAGTGGATACATCAGGGTGGAGGCACAGTGACTATTGCAGCAGAAGCCCAAGACGGCAACGGGGGTAGGCCCCCACGAGGGAACAGTACTGCTGGCAGGCCACCACAAGGAAACAGCACCGGTAGTAGGCCGCCAGGAGGGAACAGCAACAATGGCGGACAAGGTGGGGGCAGCAACGGTAGTAGGCCGCCAGGAGGAAACAGCAACAAAGGCGGACAAGGTGGGGGCAGAATGTTACGCACCTGGCAAACGATGCAGGACGTAATACCCAGAGTGCTTCAACAAGGTACATCAACTCAACCTGGCATCACTTGGATAAACATTACGTCAGAGAGATGGCTGTCGTACAGCAATTCAAGCTCAGAGTGTGACTGGTACTCAACAGAAATCGTTAGAGGACATGAGGCTTGCAATGGAAACAATAGTTTGACGTTTCTTGGTATCAAGCAAAACAACATTCAGGGTTCACTGCCTGGGGAGCTGGGGTTACTAACATCCTTAGAAATTCTTGACATATCTCGAAACTCAATTGGTGACACAATCCCAACAGAGATCTTTGCTCTGCCGAAACTTTGGGTGTTCACGTTGTACCAAAATCAAGTGAGTGCCAGCGTGATTGTGTTCATCCCTTCCACCTACAATATGATACTCACAGTTTCTCTTCAATCAATAGTTACAAGGAACGGTTCCGTCTGAAATTGGTCTCCTCTCAGACACACTAGAAAACCTTTCATTACATAACAATGAACTAACAGGTCAGTTGTGCACCAGTGTTGGCTCCAGCGATGGATACAAATGGAATTTCTCACTTTTATTTCTTGCATATTCAGGGACATTGCCCGAAGAACTCTTCATGCTATCCAACCTCAAACAGCTTCGACTTAGTTCCAATCGTCTTATGGGATCACTTCCCAGTGATATTGGCTTTCGCTTGCCAAAACTAAGCATCCTAGACTTCAGCAGAAGTCCATTCGGTGGAACCTTACCGTCTTCAATAGGCCTCTTGACTGCGATAAGGGATCTTGGGTTCCATAACACTGGAGTCTCTGGTACCCTCCCCACAGAGCTCGGTGGGTGTGCAAACCTGGAAAGGTTGCTTGGACGGGAAAGTAACTTTTATGGAACTTTACCGTCAGAGTTGGGGATGCTAACTAGCCTACAGGTAGGCACCTATGAGGATCCAATTGTGCTCGCATAAACTCTTGGATCTCAACAGCTTGTTGCCTCTTGGATCTGCTCTTTTAGACAATCAATGTGGAAGGAAACCCAGGATTGATTGGAAATATCCCCTTTGAATTTACATTATTGAACAGGACGCTTCAAGCTTTTAAAATTGGTGGTAGGAAGCACCCTATGTGGTCATGTTCAGCAGTCTGCTGCTGCCTTCTGACTGACACACACTCATCCCACTATGTTACTAGGAACCTCCATTACTGGAACTATTCCACAGGAGATGTGTGGGATCAATCATCTTAGCTTTGATTGCTCTGAATCCCTGTGTGGCTGTGATTGCGCTTGCCCAGAGGCTTAGAATTACCAGTACAAATAAAATGCAATTAAGCCAGCGGAGCTGTGTAACCTCGGCAGAAAGGTTTCAGTGTAGAAGCAGATACCCCTATAGCTAGCTAACTAGAAGCAGACACCTACAGTGCTTAGCTAGCTAGTGCTTAACTTGTGCTTAGCTAGCTAGAAGCAAATTCCCCCTAGCTAGCTAGAAGCACATTCCCATAGCAAGCTAGAAGCAGACACCCTAGCTAGCTAGAATACTAGTTATATAGCTTTCGCTGGCTTTAGAGTTTTTCCGGTAGAAGCAGATCCCCCTACTAGGATGGATGTAAATAGCTTTAGCTGGTACCAGCCTAGCTAGGATACTTATTAGTTTTTGCTGATTTATTTGTATTCTAACCCTATCCTTATACCTGCGGGGACCACCGTAGCAGGAAAAACAATTAAAGGGGTTGAGGGCTCTGGCAGCAAGACTGCCGAGGTAAAAGCAGTTAGATCGATGCAGATCGTCCATTCGATCTCATGCAACGATGGAAGCTTTGATCCCAAGATTTTCTCTCTTTCTCTCATCACGATCAATTGCTTGTGGCTTCTCGGCTCTGGATCCTCATGCGGCATTGACAGGAGCGAGACTACTGAGAGCGTCCGAATGTACTTGGTTCTCCAGTTCGTCATCAATGATGAAGGAACCATGCAACGGGAATCAAACCCTAGAGAACTTGGAGCTTCTGGGAAACGGGTTGGCTGGAACACTCCCAGAGGAGTTGGGACTTTTGACATCACTCAAGTACATCAGGCTGGGCAAAGACAATATTGGAGGGACTATCATTAGTCAGTTCGGTTCCTTGCCCAAGCTTTGGGGTCTTCACTTGTTTGGCTCTCATCTCACCGGCACCATACCATCTGAGCTAGGGTCACTCTCCAATACACTCAAGGGTTTTGCTGTGCAGGGAAATTTCCTATCAGGGTCCTTGCCAAGTGAGTTGTGGCAACTAAGGGAATTGAAAGAGCTGAGAATTGGCAACAACCCACTGGAACTGTCCATTCCAAATCACGTGCACAAGTACATGCCGAAATTTCGAGTTATATATGCTGCAAGGCTCACAACATTGGATGGTTCCCTGCCAACAACATTGGGTCTGCTAACGGGGTTGAGTCACTTTAACATTGAGGAGAATGTTGTTACGGGACTACTCCTGAGTGAGTTGGCAACCTTGACAAGTTTGGGAAGCATCATTGCCAAAAACAACCAGCTGACGGGTTCTTTGCATTCCGAGTATGGTCTTTTCCGAAGCCTTGCGTCACTAGACCTGCGAGGAAATATGGGTATGGTTAGTCCGTTTCCTCCACAACTGGCAAATCTGAATGAGAGTTTGGAACTATTGGACTTGGAAGACACTTCAATTACTGGCAACATCCCCAAGAAGCTTTGTGGGCTTGAATCTCTCAATTTTGCATGTCCGCCCATGTGTGGTTGTGGCTGTCCATGTTCGGAATTGTAGGCGCAGCTTGCCCGTGCCACTGGCTAGAGTACCGGTACCCGTATTCCCCACACGAGCTACTAGTGATAGTCTGACTAGTACTATAGCTAGCTAGCATTTGGTAGCTTTCAATTTTGCAATTTCTCCTTGTAAAAACTACACATCGTACCGTAGTGAGCCGCCATGGAGCGAATGTGATCGATACTAAGAAAGTAAAACCCCCGCAACCGCGAAGATTATGAGGGAAGCAAATATCCAGGCCTAACCTCAAGGAGCCCCAGTCCGCCATCGAGTGTCCAGAGCAACAGCGAAGGAGCCAAGATGACGACCAGCGCGGGAGGCGGAAGTTTCGTGGCTACCTACAGATTAGGGATAGAGATACCGTACTTTGAGTCACACTTCCCAGACGTGCGTCAATCAGCTCAGTCGAAAGCTTCCGCATACCAACAGGTGCAGCCAAGGGTTCCTCAACTTATAGAGGATAACAAGCCCAAGATGCACAGCAACAGAGGAAACAACAAAACAGGTGTGGTAGCTCAGTGGCAGAGCAACTTCCGGCAGCCCAGTGAGTCTTAGCTTCCATTCCTTCTCAAACTTTCACCCATATATTCCAATGGACAGGATATCTGGCTTTCATCTAGAAGATCTGGGTTCAATTCCCAGTATGGGTTAATGGCTTGGTGGCTCAATAGGGAGAGCATCAGATTCCAGATCTGAAGTGTGTCGGTTCGAACCCGGCTCAAGTCCTGGCTTGGTTGTCCAAGCAATCTGATACTGTGGCCGAGTGGACTAAGGCGCAATGTTAAGGACGTTGTATTCAGGGGTTCGAATCCCCTCAGTATCACTTCCTCCAGCATGGTCTAATGGTAGGACACTGCACTCTGAATGCAGGGGTCAGGGTTCAATTCCCTGTGCTGGAATCCTTGGTATGGTAGCTCAATGGTGGAGCATCAGGCCCCGGACCTGAAGGGTGCAAGTTCAATTCCTGCCCATACTTCCTACCAAAACTGATATGGTAGCTCAGAAGGCAGAGCATCAGATTACGAATCTGAAAGTCACGAGTTCAAGTCTCGTCCATATCTTCACTTCCTCCAGCATGGTCTAATGGTAGGACACTGCACTTTGAATGCAGGGGTCAGGGTTCAATCCCCTAGAGGCGAAATGGGAGAGAAGGCAGTGATATGATTGGTTGATAACATGTGTATATGTCAGCAGTATTTAATGACAAAGGACAGTATTTGCTAGAGCCAATGTGCTACCTATCTGCTCACTTTTTCTGCAAAGGTTCCAACAACAACGATTCCGTCGTCGGATCGAACTCAAGTCCATGTACGAACGATACCCCCAGTTAATGCGTTGTCGATCCATGATCGACGCGATCGCTCCATGGAGATGGCTCATGGCTACTCAACCAGGTTGAATGTTGAATCCAACCAAAGCAGTCATCAACCAACGTATCCCTCTATGACCGCCATGCAGCACATTCCTCTTAGCTCAAAATAGAGCTATGGGGAGGCAAAGCCAACAAAGGAGATCTCTGAAGCAAAGGAAATATCATCTCGCTGCTACCAACTCTTATCGAAAGCGAAGGCAAGGTGACAAGAAAACTCCTCATATTGAGAGCTTTGATCCTTTGATATATTGTCGAGTGTGCAGAGTCAATTTTCTGGTAAGAGCAAAAGCAGTAACAGGAATCAAAACTCCACACACTACCCACCATCACCAGTGTTTGAAAAATACCAAGACTAAAGGAAGGTGCTTGTTTGGCTATTGTCAACAAAGCAAAAAGAACATGGATACTGATGGTACATTGGAAGATAGTGGGGGCTTAGAATATCTGACCAATGGTGTCCCATTAGCTGCAGAACCCGCAGAACCCTTGTTTCCACCATTGCCGGTTTCAGAAGAATCTGATTTTGCCAATAGAATCAGGTTCCTTGAAACTGAAGTGTCAAAACTGCAAGAAACCGTCAGGAAGCAAGAAGCACTATTGCAGTCGATGCAAGCCGAAAGGCGAGCTCAATTGCAATATCTACAACAGGGCTCCGATTCCTCTATCGACAATTATGTTCCAATCGCACCAAGACCACCGAATGTACCAGCTGTATATTACTGCCAGTGGATTACAGCTCTACCAATGTATAATGCAATTCCTTCTGTCGTGGCTCCCAATAGCTTCTGCTGTGTACCATACTGGCAGTGGCGAATCTAGCAGAAGAGAGATAGACCACCCCATGATCTCCACTGCCAAGAAGGATATGGAAAATAGTGGCATGGTAGAAAGTATATGGTCAGTTCATTCACAAAGGTACAGCAGGAAGAGGTTCGTGACAGTTGTACATTGGGAACTATGATTTCTGGCTGATTTCAAAATTCTGTGGAATAGTATTTGAACAATACTAGCTAGCTAGCTTCGTCAATAAACTCATACATGTAAACAGCCGCAAAATACATGTATATATATATATATATATAATATATATATATATATATAATATATTAATATATAATATATATAATATATAATACCGATCTCTAGAGACTGCCATTGAACGCAGTAATTGATAGGTGCCGGTCCATGTACGGTACCCCTTGTGCCAAACTAGTAGGGAGCTTCGGGCAAAAAGTGCGTGCAGAACTGCAGCGAATGAATCGAAATCGGATAGATGGAATGGATAATTATCCAATCGAATCGAATCGAATCCAACAATGGCGAGCTGACACTTCCTATACCAGTTGCATAAGCCTTGCTGACACTTCGGGAGAGGGGCTGCCCTCATTCTGCCTTTACCCCTCTTTTTGATTTAGTCTGGTTAGAGATGAGGATGGCTGTATGGATGTGTCTTTACGTGTCACTACGATTTTAGGGTCACCCCCAAATGATACAGGAACTGGGAACTCTCCTCTCCTCCTCTCTTCTCTTCCCCCTCCTCCATGCTAACCCCCCCAAAAAGTCCCCCTATGCTGGATCATAACAATAGGCGTCCTTTGGAAATGCCCATCCTGCTGGGAATGGGTGGGATGTCCTTTACTCGCGATAGCACTTATCATTGGTATGGCCAACCAGCAGTTACAGGCTAACTATAGTACGAAATTTGCACACAAGATTAGCCAAAGTGTACAGTAACGTAGACAGTGCCGAATTCAAAAAATGTCACTTAAACAGTTGGAGTCTTGTAGAACGATCGAAGAGTTATTCCAGGAGGTGCGCCGTACCGTTGGAGCCCTCATTTATCTTGCTCACAATTTCGAAGAGCTTCTTGTCTCCGTAGAGGTACCGAAACGTATCTTTCCGTAGAGTCGTTGAGTCATTGAAAGCCAACATTCCACTACAGCAAAGCTACTACACCACCATGTTGTTTACTGCTAGTCATGTATTTAAAGAGTGGCTAGATGTTAACGATCGCTACCCTTACAATGAGATGAGGAAAACCAGGCAGACATATGTATGCAAGCATGTTTTGCTGGAAGATCAAACAAACAGGGAAGACAGTAGAACCCAGTACTATCTTGTAAAGACCAGATACTACGGATTCGGACTGAATTGACCGCAAAGCCCTCCTCTCAAAAATTCGAGGGAACCGCCCTTAAATATTTCGAGGATGCCTCGAAAATTTGAGGCTCTGCTCAGGAATTCGAGCCTCTGCTCAGGAATTCGATGTGCTTTTACTTAAAGGGCAAGGTACCTCAAAAAACGAGCCGATTGCAAACAGTTCGGATTTGTCACTCTGTACAAATTGTACCAGAGCTCTACAGGGCAACTCGAATTTCTGAGATGAGCCTCGAATTTTTGAGAGAAGCCCTTGCGGTCAATTCTTCCCGAATCCGTAGTACCTTTCAAGTGGGATTCTTGAGCACTCATCATGGAAGGGAATGCGCTGCCAATGACTCCTGATCAGACTTGGCTCTTGGATGAGATGTTTGTGTGGGGTGTCAGGCACAGCAATGAATGGTACAGTGATGTTCTAGCTGAGCTGGCATGGGAAGTGTATGAACATGAACCTGTCACGAGGAAAGAGATGTGCAAAGAGGCAATCAGACCACTTATGAGAGGAGTTCTGTATACTCAGTTTGGTGTGTGGCACACTGAGGCAAAGGAGTTGTTGCTTACTGAATGGAGTCATTGGTTTGATACAGAGTGCTGGAGCCAGCACAAACACAACCTAAGTGCAATGACAATCAGTAGTGAGGAGTACCTTTCCAACAGAGCTGCATTCACTGCCCATCATGGTGGCTACTCTTACCCAATGCACCAAGACTGATTCATGTCTGTTCAGTGAGTTTAAAATGAAGGAAGCAGCAGCTGTAAGATTGTTGTTGTTTGTTATCCAACATGTAGTTGTCAACAGCAGTAAAAACATACCTTTGTGTCAAACCAATCTTTCCTGTCAACACTGTTCTTGTGTGTAGGTTTACTGCAAGTAGGACCAAAGCCATCACCAGGACCGTGATAGTCCTTTAGCTGCCAACAGTTTCCACAGTAGTTCCTTTTGCAGGAGCTGGCCACCCCCTCATCTTCATGATGGTCTCTTCTCTTGTGTCCACAGGTGCAACAGAAGCGCCTGCTCCTGAAAACTTTCCTTGAAGGCCTTCTAACTGGTCCTTCTCTTGGCTCTGGTGGTGTTGCCATTTGGTAGGGCGCCACATTCCTTTGTCTGTGCATGACTTGTCCACGAACACCCTCCAACCTGCCCACCATGACCTCAGTGTTCAAGGTGGTTGGATTGCCTATTGGTGTTCACCCTCCTTGATGCTGAATGTAGTTTGGTGGCTCTGTGTTGTGTGTCACTTGGTTCTGTGGTAGCCCCTGCCTAGTCTCACGAAGAGTCCTGTTCAGCCGCTGTCGACTTGGATCATTGGCTTGTGTTGCTGTTGCTTGTAGTGATCGGTACTCTTGCGTCTTGCGAAGATAAAGCTCCAGTTGTTGCCGATTTTTCCTGTTGATTTGCACGATGCTGTCATCACCTCTGCTCCATGCAGTGAACCGGCGAGCCACCTCATTATTCCAGTTTCGCTCAAAAGCCTTATAGTTAGGCTTGCCTCTTCCTTGCATGTTGTACTTCCTACACTCCAAGTTAAACAGACGTTCCTCTTCAAGGTCTAAATGAGTTGCAGCTGTCGTAGAATCTGGAGATCGGAAGGGAATCCAGGGCTGTTTGTTGGTAAGCTTGGTGAACGCCTGTAATGTAGACTCTCTTCCATTGGTGTCCGGCAGCAACTTGGCCAGCTCATCCTGGATCAATTGGCGATTAAGGGCATCATTGTGTCTTATCGCTTCAGTTTGTTGAAGATCCTCCAATTGCTGTTCCATATCCTTCTCAGTAGCCTCATTCGGTTCCCCCGTAAGATCAACTGTCACTGGAACATCGTCGTCGGTATTGTTGTTCTTGCTGACTGGCTCATCATTGTCATCGCCACTGTCGTAGTTGTTGTTACCAGCGGTAGGATTGGACACATCATGGGCTTCCACCACCTTGTAAGAAAATCCCATGTACTCAGAAGGGGCAGAGTCAGTAACTGTTGGCGCTGACAGGCCCTTGAAGGGCAGCTCAGACTCGTTATATCCAACCTTCTTGGCAATCGAGTTAAGAAGCAACAATCTCTCAGTTTCGACAATGCCATAGTCCTGGTCCCCAAGCCGTGTAATGGCCTTTTGCTGATTCCTTTCTTCGAAAAAAGAAGTCATTAACCGGTCAGCTCGATGGATGCCAATGTGCGTTGCTGTGAGGATTTTGTATGCAAGGTCCAGATTGTCTCTCTCGTTGGTGTTGGTTCCCCTGGACACATAAGTCACCCCTGAAACCGGATTGTGTCTGAAGATGTTGACTTCTGATGGATCGGAAAGACATCCCTTGTCAATATAAGTGAAAAGCTGCTTTATCTTTTCCCGAGTTGCGGCATTGTTCTTTAAGAACAGCCTTCCTGTGGGTCCATCTCCACCTGTCGACAATGCCATCTCTGTTTCGGCATCTTTGCTACGAACGTATTCCAATGCAATACACGGCTCTTAGCCTTATTCGCGACTCGATCCTAGATAGGGTTTGAGTTCGACTCATGACTGAGTCTCTCGTGAATAGTCATTTGAGACAGGGTTCTCAATGACCGCGCTAGTCATACTAGGTTGATGATGAAACATCACTCTAGATATTTAGCTAGCGTGGA